TTAACTTTTTGACATCTTCTAGCAGGTAGTCATTCTTCTATAATTACATCACAACCCAGCCTTTCTAGTTTGTTATTGCAATCCGTTGCAAACGATTCTGTTGCATTAAATATTAAAACAAAGATTCTAGAAATGGCTTTTAAAGAGCTTGTAACCAGCCTAACCATATTATATGCTAGGATGTAATCTAATCCTTTAGTCTGCAAATATTTCGTTACCGGCTTGGTATATTGAAATATTTTCAAATATACGTGAGCAGACAAATTTATTCTAAAAGTTGTATTTTGCCCAGAATAGATTTTGCCATTTGTCATATCTGTGCATTTTGCATAACATTGGAAGCAATACTTTTGAGTGCAAACATTAATTCTACGTATAAACAATTATCTTTGCAATCGAACGCGACAAAAATTTGTTTTAGGGCGTCTCTTTTCTCGAAGTTTTTGTGCACCTCCTTTGATTTTTCGTTTATACATTCTTACATACCTAAAAAATACTGCAAATAATTTTAAGTGCAATATTATTTGTCATCAACTTACGTTACACAGTGACACAGTAAAATTCGCTAAAGTGTCTTTTTTAATTACAGTTATAATGCAATATTTTCAATTTCACATTTAAAGTAGAATGTGACTGTACTGTATTTTCATAAATCTACTTTACGATTGTCGACCACTGTCCACTATTAAGCTCTACTCTAATTTTACCTTACAGCCTACAGCTACTATATCTCATGTGAGCTCCAGTTCGATATGCGGTCAGCAGCACATCCATGTCTCTCTCATGCGCAGGGTTGTTTCGTCGAATCATCTGTATCGACTCGATCGTTCGATTTTCTTGATCGGCCCGAAATCGCTTTGGCCCACCGGGCACCTGCCCGGTCGGCCGCCGGCCCTATCCGTCACTGGTACTGAGCACCTTTTAGGCTTGCTAAGCGTTTATAGCATTCTTTGCATTCCTTTCTCTCCTTCCTCGCGGATCCTACGCACAAATTAAAATCTTTTTTTTCTCTTTTATTATTATTACTTCACCAGGGGGATTCACAATATCCATACAGAAAGAGTAATAACTTATGGAGCAGCAATCTAGGGTGGCGAACTTACCTCTCATATGAAAAGATCCCTGCTCTCTATACAGAGACAGCAGCTACTTCAAGTATGCAGGGCTTACCGTACCACGTCAACACTACCCCTACAACAACTAGCGGGAATTCCTCCCCTAGATTTGATAGTAGAAAGGGAGGCAGCTATCGTAAGGGTTACCAGGCTGGGTCAAACTTCAACACTCTGGGGTCATAGTTATCACCACTCGGACTACGAGGAGCAAAACTGCAATAACTTTCATCCAGCAGCTTTTAATCTCTCTGACGGTATCAGTATAAACGACCAACCAATTCAGAGGTACAGTAATAATCTTTTCACAGATGGTTCCAAAACTGAGAACGGCACGGGCAGCGCCTTCTGTAGACTAGAAAATGGAGTTGTAACATTCGAGTGGAAAAGGAAATTAGGCTCGAACAACTCGGTATACCAAGCAGAGTTTCTAGCTATCAGTGCTGCAATTAGATATGCGAACACATGTCAACAGGAGAAATTCTCCATACTTAGTGATTCGGCATCAAGTCTGGCGGCTATCGCAAGTCAAACAGCCGGAGTCCATTGGTATACAGGATTCAGAAACAGCTTCTGACAATGCCTATTTCACAAAGACCCACTTTAAAATGGGTTCCCGCTCACACAGGGATTCAAGGCAATGAAGCCGCTGACCTACTGGCCAAGCAGGCAGCCAACTGCACGGATATAATAGAAAGACCAACTAAACTTCCTTGGTCTCATATTAAGCGAACAACTTTGACAAGTCTGCTACAAAATTGGCAAAGTAGATGGACAGAGGCAGAGGTAGGACGAAGGACATTTCGCTTACTGCCAAAAGTTAACATGGAAATAAAGACCCACTGTGCTAGCCTAACACAGTTCTTGACAGGTCATGGACCATTCCCAGTATACCTGAACAGATTCAGACTTAGGATACTCCCTTTCTGCAAATGCGGAGAGGAAGGCGACACGGACCATTATTACTTCCATTGTGTACATACAAGAACCTGGCACTTGAAGAAACCAGCGGACTGTGCCTGGGCAATGTGGACTACTAACACACTCAAAAACAGAATAGCACTTGATAAAATAGAGAAAATCTCAGGACACTGCCTAAGCAGAAACAACCGTGGATAATATTATAATGTTTCAAAAGTTCAGAACTTAAAGCAGATAACCAGAATAACGCTTAGTGCCTTGCAGTTAACAATATGTAAAAACTGTTATTAGCATATAATATTCAACCTTGTTACTCTGGAGTCTTCCCCGCCTTGATGGTATATAATTCAGTTTGGTTCATGTCCGTGGTCGGAAGCCGTCATAGCGGTGCACTCACTCACTCACTCACTCACAATATCCATCAACATATGATTAATAATTTTTTCTGTAAATTTTAAAATTTTGATAGCTTAGATTTAAAAATTTTTTATGAACGTACCATGCATTCACGAGAGAAGTTCCGCATATCAGCTGTATAACAGATTTTCCTGTACCACTTCACTGTTCTCCGCAAACAATTATAATATAAAGTTATTTTGTCAGATAGATTATCTCGCCCCATGAAACGGACTGCTAATTCAAGCGCCGACGCACGAAAAAAGAACATTGAATATCCGCGCAGTCGTCAAAACGTTAATATCAAGCTACCTAGATTATAAATTTAATGAATTAAAGACATTGATTCTGAAACACTTAAAAATTTTGTAGCAACGTTTTTATTGTATGATTAGGTACTAATTTTTTTTGGTTGGACTTAATTATGAACTGATCTTGAATCTAATATTTAAAGCTCATAACTGCATTAATTATACTACACTTATTATGCCTAGTTACTATTTATTATGTCAAAAAAGGACAATGTTTTGAATAAATAACGCGTGTATAGATGCAAATATTTGAGAATCAAGCTATTGATATAATTTTTTTATGACTCATATAATATTTTCTTTGCTACGGATTTGCTTATCAAGGATATGTATTGCAACAAATATTGTGAATTAATAAAAAATAAACCTAAAACTCAAATGTTAATTTGCAGTAATTCATTAGAAGAAACTTCAGCAAATGTCAGTAATTCTAAAGGAAATACGCTTAATTAACAGACTGTTCATATCGATATTGGGAAGGGAGGGAATCCATTCTTGTTAACCAGCGAAACAGTCATAACGACTTAATTAGCTGGAAGTGTGTTCTTTCCTTTATCTGCTACTAGTGACGTCATGGTCGCAGTGCGAAGTCCTTGTTATTTCGGTGACGACGGTTAATTTCCCGCATTAGGCTTGGTTGTTTGAGCACGGTCTTTCCCCGTTTTCGCGGGTGAAATATCGGTTTACCCGTGCGTTCCAGTGATGAAACGGATAATGGCCTATAAGATTCGGCTATTCCCAACGAATACTTAAAATGCAAATTTCAGCCCATTTTAATTTTTTAGGATACCTTTTACGCTTGAAACTGTTTTAATGGATTATAGTAAACCAAGTGAAGCTACGTGCCTGAGGTTATTTATTTAATGAATACAGCACAGCACACGAAGACTACTTACTTAAAAGGAGGAATGCCTTTGTGAAGAACTTTCTAATGGCGTACAGACCACCAGGCATTTTAATCTCAAGCAAGAGAGGAGAAAAAATCAAGAGATTCCCTTGTGGAGATTTGAACTCCAGATCTTCCAACTGTTAGCCGGACTTGATTTCTATTTACACCCCAAAGGGAAGCGGTAAGGATCGAGAAAAATCTCACATTCTTCCCCGCTTAAACGGCAAATGAAGACTTAGAAGGTTGGGGACCAACTGCCTGCCCTGGTGATGCCAGTTCGCCACCACCTTTATAGTCTCACATCTACTTGCAGAGGTTATTTGAATTTTTGTAATAGGAAACACAAAAAACTAGGAAAGCTCTTGTCGGAACTCGAGCTCTGAACTTTTCGACTGCTAACCAGATGTGCTTTCCAATTACACAACGAAGGTACAAGGTAAAGACGGAGAAAATGCCTTACAAAGGAAACTGGTCCATGCTTTACATTACTTATATGTAAAGCCACAAAAAAATCCATACAGCGGAGTTCGGACTATCAGTGTTTAGTGGTCGTATCTACTCGGTCACTGAACATTTGCCTTACGTTAAAAAAAGCATTCATTTTGAAGCTTTTATTACAAACTACTAGTAGCAAAAATTTCAAAATTTGAAGTTTTATATTTAAGGGAGTTAACTTTTATAGGAGCTTTAAAGTCGACGCTTTCCTACCGGGGAAAGTGATTTAAGTGAAATTAGTTTGATAATTTTCCTGCATTTTAAATCTGCATATCGCAAAATGTCCTCTCCCCCCCCCGTGGAGGACTCTTAGTACAATAAAGAAATTACGAACCGGAACTTTTGCCTTACAGTAATTGCATTTCATAATCCAAATTTCGTGTTTTTTGACTGAAAGGTATGAGGTAATTAAAACTGTGGTAATATGCAATTTCATGTTATTGTTTGATTAATTTCCTTACTTAAACATATATATACTACCAGTCATTCTAGGGATATTCAGTCATGCAATAATTTTGAAATACATCTTTAAAGACAATTTTTTTGACAAAATATGTGATTTTAAATGTCGGTTAATAAGCCGACTAATTTGAAATAATTTTTAAAACACCCTTTATGACAAAGTTTTGATGATAATATGCGTATATAAGTTTCGGTTGATAAGAAGAAGTGAATTGAAGTAATTTTTATTATAAATTTTGGTTAATAAGAGCAGTTAAAGCCAATTAAGCATTTCAGTTTAAATATTTAAAAATAATAAGAAGATATTAATTCGATATTTATTTTATATTATCATCTATACTATCAACAGTTAATTGATGATTATAACTTAGAAGTTTACATGCTCTCCTGATGAATGCAGTTAAGCTTTCTTACCTTGGCAGATATCGCAGCAAGCATCCTTTTTAGTTTCTGCACAAGTGTTTGGGTCGCATGTAATATTCACACAGTTTATTGAACTTGAAGCTCCATCCTATTTGAGAGAGAAAAGAAATTGAATGTTATACGAATGACAGGAAAAGAATGGCTGAATTTGAATTCTACGAGTTCTTTTATCCTTTTTTTTTCTCTTTTTTTACAATATAAATAACGGATATAGAATTTTCTTCATATTAAAATGCACATAGTTCACTATTTATTAAATTAGATATAATTTAATTCTAGACTATTACACATTGTTTTTAATTCTTATTTGTTTACTAACTCAAAACCCAGAATCTCTTAAATTTTACATAAGCATGATAACTGAATACTACGCATTTCTATACTGTTTCCAAGGTAAGCGTACCTTTTGCTATTTATATATAAGCATATAAGTACCTTTTGCTACTTATAAACGATGTGTAATTAATTATAAATGTCTTGTGTGAGTGAACTTTGTTTAAGAACTTAACTTTGAAATTGTTCTCCAAAAATATTTTTCACAAATTTGATTTATAGAAAATTGGTAAAACTGTATAGAGTACCAAAGACTTCACTACAGAATCAAACAGGTATTGCCACAATAGACTAACCAGCTAGAATTTGAAAAATGGAAATAACTGTGCGCTTTTTCACCTGAGGAACACTGGAGCTGCACATTGGAGTTATTACATTTAACCATGAAAGGATGATAACATAAATTAGAAAAGTTAAATAACATATCACAAAATATTGAGTATACTCATTACAATACTGGGTTACGTAAATACAATAGAGCTGATGTTTTGATCAGCTCTATTATATTTGATTGCGCTGGAATTTTTGAATTTTTATATAAGTAGATAAACATATGGGATTTTGATTTTGCTGATATATTGGAATGTCCGATTCTTGCTATATGAGTATATTTTTAAAGGTAAAGACTGTGCTGAGCTCAGAGTTTTCAGTCAGCTCAGAGAAAGTCCAAAGTTCATAAGCTCAGCTCAATACATTTGGTGTTTTGAAGCATTATGGAAATTGTTGATGTTGCTCGGAATCAGTTATTGGGGTGTAGTCTAGTCATTATTCTTTCCGCTTTCTCGTTTTTGGCTCTAAGTGGCGACTTGGTATAGGACCAGTCCTAAAGAAATGAGTTTTTGGTGTATTTTGATGATTTGGGGATATAGGTTGTGATGAGATATCACTATTCTTATGAAGTTAAGGCTTGATTGGTGGGTTTTTGAAGGCTCAAGTCACTTGCAAGAGGACAGAGAAAGCTAATGCTTCGCATCTCTTTTGACTCACCTGACGTAATTGTCGCTATTAGAGAGGTTCCTTTTAAGAAAATAATCTGGATTTGGGCCACGGCCGTTGAGGTATTAAGTTAGATTATGATGTATTAAGAACTTTGGAGCTTGATTTCTATGCTGACGTTTCGGAAGAACTAATGGGTTTGCCATCCTGCTGTGGCGTTATTCCACCCTTCTTGCCACTCATGGCTTAGATGTTTACTTAGGATTTGTCGTAGTTGCAATTTCGGAAGTTTAATGTTGAGGAACTCGCCTTCTTGTGAAACAGCTGTTTCTTTTGCAAGATTGTTGGCAGTGTCGCTGTCCACGTTGCCGCTGTGACCTTTGATGCAAACTATGGTTATTTCAGAATTGAGATCTTCCGAGAATTTGATTAATTTCATGGACCAGGTGAGAACTGTTGTTTGGACTTCGAATGAGGAGTACGGCTGCTTGGCTATCTGTGTTAATGGAAATTTTGGAGAAGTTGTTTATTGATGCGATGTTTTTGAGCTTTTATTTGTGAGAGTTTCTCTTGATGTATGTTGTTGGAGTTGTTTAAATACAGTTTCCATTTCACTTTAAAATCTAGATGTTGTTGCATTGGAAAGAATCTGCACATCCGACATAGGATAGCTGAGTGCAGATTGCTTGTTTTACTGATATTAACTTGGCCTAGGACTGCTTGTATGACATAAGTTGTGGACTTTTATTCCCTGAATCCATATTGTTGGTCGCTGATATGGTCTTCATGATGGAAGTGGAACTTCCGCCTTTCAACAGCATGGTGTTCCAGAACTTTACACAGAGCAGGAACAGATTTATGCGGAAGCAGAGCGATAAGTATTTGGACTGTCGGAAGATTTCTTTTTCTTTTAAGAATATGATAATTTGACCGGTTTTAAGACATTTAGGGAAGGCGTTTGAGGCATTTCTTGCAAACTTTAGAATTATATAGGGGCTGGTATGATGGATAAGATTAACGATTTGGTTTCAGATTCCATAGATGCTCGAAGCTTTCTTCTTATCAAGATTTCTGATAATATTTGTTAATTCAACCTGGGTGACTGGTATATCGTTTTCTAAGTCTGGAGGATGCTTATTGTGGCGGAAAGTTTTCTGTGCCTTCATCTTCGTTATCGTTTAGGAGGACAACGTTCAGGATTGCAGTCAGAGTGGTATAGGTGGCATCACTGCTGTTGTGGCAGTTTGTAACATCATCCAGGGCCCTGTTCGTTCATGCGACTACACAGAGAAAAAATGCATTCCCGAGGCAGGCTTCCTGGGACTCGGGAGCTGCCGGTTCAAGATAGTTGAGGGCGTGGGACATATATCTGCTTACCTTTGTTAGACATCAGGTGTCCCCGTCCTCCGTCACCTGTTCCCTGTTGTTGCAGTTACTGGTGAGTGGGAAATGAAGCTGAGTTAGGTTTGAAAATTTTACTCGTTGCTATCTTGCATAGAGGGCCATAAATAATTTTGTTATTGTTGCAGTATGTATGCCAGACTTTAAGTTTCGCTTCTGTAATTTGGCGTTTATAATTAACCATTTGTTTTCTGAATTTTTGGATGATGGATGATTGTCTGATTCTGTGGATTTGAATTTTCTGCCCGATGCTCTGTTTTTATGTTTTCCCCTCGAAAGATCTTTTGTCAACCAGTTTATGTTACTCAATACTGTTTATGTTCTATTCTTAAATGTTTGGCCATAGATGATTTATATTCTTTGTCCTGTAGTTTTGCTGATTTCTTCTCTTGTGTTGCAGTGCTTGATTGAGTGCACCATGGCTTCTACATATTAATTCAGGTGTTGTATAAATATTTTCTGTCTTCCTTTGTTCATTTTGAATCTGGCGTTTATGGTGCTTCTTGTTGGTTGGTTGATTTCAAAGATAGCATGATCAGATATCATTTCATGCCAAAGATGATGTCAAAGATAACATTTATGATCAGATTCGGTGTGATCACCTCGAACTTGCCTGTTGTGGATTTTAATTGTTAGGCGTGGTGAGGTGATGAGGAGATCTGTCCAGTCTTGAATTCTTATATTATTGAATGCTGGAGGGTCGTTTGGTTGCTTATGAAGGATTAGAATATTGGAGTTAATGAATTCTTTCAGTAGCAAAACTTTTTTGTTTGTGTATAAATAACTCCAAGGTGTACCGTGACAATTGAAGTCTTCACTGATGCTTAGGGGGCAGTTGAAGCTCTAAATTCGATGACTGAGTAAATCAGGAGTTGGGGGTGGGCTCTTCCTATGGTGAAAGTGGTCGAAAACTGATACTTCATTAAGTCACTATAAAAACTTGCACAATCACTGTACAAACACAAATATTGGCTTCGAATAATCCGAAGAGCACTGGCTAGCTGGTAGTGTGAAGTCTGAAAGTGATGGCACTTAGACGTCGTGAAATATTTTAAGAAGTACGGCACTGCACGGTCCTCCAAAAGCACTTCCTTTCATATGTCTTGTAAGAGTTGTCCTGGGGTAAACACAATGAAAGTAGACTTTGAAAGAAGATAATTCTTAATTAGGTGCCCCTATATGTTTATATTTTGTGTTCATGTAAAGCTCTTTATGGCCATTCAGATGATCTCACTTACAGGATGGTGCTTCTGGAAAAGGACTCTAATGGGCTATTAATTTAAGAGTAAGAAAAGCGAACTAGAAAGAAATTAAATAGGTTTCAGGTTCTGGGAATCAAGAATGCTCTGAAAACGTAAATGCATGTTTAAGTTTGAGACAAGCCTTATATTTTCTGCTACTCAAGAGAACGTGCGTTTGAGACTGTAAAACAGTTGCATAACATCTCTTTAACATATTTATGCATTTAATGATGTTCCTTTTGCTTATTTAAAAAGAATATGTTTCTGCGCAATAATTTGAATGGGGGGGATATCTTATACAAGATTTTTAAATGCTATGCATTTTATTTTCATTATTTTACAATGTCTATACTCTCAAATTTTCAAAAATACTTTTCGTATGTACCTGTATTAATACAGCTTAACGCGGCAGTTCAAAAACGGCATAAATTATAAAAAAGTGCTCCATCTGAAGTCAGTTTGAAAATAAATTGTTAAATTTCTTTTCGTGGAAGATTAGGTGATCTTTATTCTCCAATAACGAAATAAAAAACTTATCGCAATAGTGTTGTATATGATTTCATATTTTAACTCTTTAACGCGTTCAGAAAATCTTCATGAAATAAAACAAAAGATATTTAAAACTTTTTTTTTTTAGTTTTTGAAGACTGAATCAAATAGTGAACGCGATTCTGAACCAAGTACGTAATATATGAGCTACAAACACTTTTCAATACTTGCAGTAACTCTTCAGATAATTCATAAGAAGATAAAGTAGATATATGATAAATTAAATATGTTTTAATTTATAGCAATTAAAAAATTATTCAAAATTAAGTAACAGTTTTAATTGTTAAGACGAGTATATTGCTTTTATATCGCCCAATCATTTAAGCAATTACAGACTGCCTAAATATAAAAGGTAAATGAAAGAAATAAGTTTTAATAGGTAATAGGTTTTACTGAACGTGTTCATGCGCGAGGTTGCATCGAAGATAATGTAAAACCTTATGTTCCATGCAGCGGCAAGAGTTGCCAAGGTGAATGGATGATATATGCATTATAACGTAGCATAACATAACGAATGTAACGGTTAAAAATTTTTGAAATGACTCCGCTAAGGACTTTTTACCATAAAAATGTTTATATTTTCAGTTGAAGTGGATTTATTAGATTATGGCAAAACACACTAGCGGTA